AGAGATAAGCTAGCAGGCTGAATGGGACATGACTTGTTGAAAAGCTGTCACAGAGACACTACTTTGAGTTCAATTTCGCACCGCTGTGTAGACGCATGCAGGCACCATGACTCGTCTGTGACAGTGGCTTCATAGTGGCCCCCCGGGCGAGGCTGGCAGAAAGGTCCAAGCCAGCAGGGTGCTAACACAACACGAAGCATATAACTCCGCTTTCCAAACCCATACTGAGTGGCTTCCTGGTGTGTTGGGACTGGATCAAGAACCAAGAAGTTACTTAGCGGAGGCCGCTTTCGTGTTTCCTCTGTTAATTGAGCTCAGGTTGAAACTAAAACCCTTCTTTCATCTTTTCTAAATTCCGATGCAAGTTTTTAAGTACAGTTTTTCACAAAACTGCTTGAGCAATCCGTGTTCGTATAGAAATATAAATGCAGAATTTGGAATACTTAGAAATGTCTTGTCTGATATGTGATAGGATTTTAGCACCTCAGATTTGTCATGGTTGCCAGATATGTTGCATGTAGAATATTCTGCTCACAAAGAAGTATAGTTTAAAAAAAGCATGAATTTGGGGGGTGGGGGTTGAGATATACTTTGTTACTTGAGCTGTAGGCAGGAAAGTAGCAATTTCTTGGTTTGTATTCTTTCTCACGGACTTCAAGTCCAGTGTCAGAGTTCTGGCTGAGTGACGTGTGCAGATGTCCTCAGACAGGGGCAAGTCAAGTCCCAGGGGTGGAGGGTGAGATCTGAGACTGAATGCCATCCTCAGAGGCATCCAAATTCAAAACCGCATTAAGTACTGGGCTGGCAGAGTACGTTTGGAACACAGACGTCCTGTGCCTGTGGCCTCTGTTTGATAGTCTAAATGACAATACTGTTAATAAGATGGCTATCTTAATATTTACTTGAATTTGGATAGCTCAGTTACCTTCATTTAACAGGCAAGGAAACTGAAAATCAGATAATTATGTGACTGGTTTATAGGCACAGAACTAGTAGTAATAGCTCTGATATTCAAACCAAGGTCTTTTGATTCTAGATATTTAGGCAATAATTTAAAGACAATTTTTAAAATCAAAAAGC